CAAACTGCATTTGTTGTTCGATGTAAATATACCATAAGATGCAGCGCGTTCTGGGCTTTCTTTCTATATATAGGAAGTTAATAAATTATAAAGGTGTAGTGATAAAAGCTAAAAAATACACAAGGGGGGAAAAACTTTTGACGTGCACTGTAGAATAACTAGTAAGAAAAAAGTAAAATAATGAATAACAGTAATCTTTATTTTTTTGGAACTATCATCTATACCTGATAAATCATTACAAATAGTAATTATAAATTCAACATCAATATCTTTATCATAAAGACTATTATGATCAATCAAGTGATATTTCGAAAAGAATTGATGTATGAAAACAAATATGTTCGAAAATATTTTACAATAAAGCTCCTTTAGTAATTAATTGATGTAGAGCTTCATTAAAAAACTCAAACATGTACATGTCTTGTAACGCGATTTAACATCAGATATACAATATCTAGATTGTTTTTTATAAATTAAACTAACTCTTTGGGATGGTGGAACGTGTTCACATAATTGTTGATCTTGAGGGTGTGACTTATAAAATGACAAAAATAAGCCATTTGTGATGATAAACCACACGTATTCTTTAATGTTTTTTGAAATTCATTGATGAAAATCGAGCTTTTAATTCATGAAAATAACATGATGAGAAGGATACAAAAAGAAAGACCTTGATTTCTATAAAAAGGATTCAAATTTATTATCATGAGACTCAAATCGTACAAAACTAATGAAAGTAATGAAGAAATCTTAGTTTTCGAAAATAATCATCATAATTCCTACATGGAAATTCAAACAATAGCCATTGAAATGAATTGTTTTTGATTTTTTTTTAGTCACTGAGTTACGGCTGTCAATGTGATGTAAATAGAAAAAGAAATGAAAGAGACATCGTCGAATGGTGATAAATTGATCGTCGATGAAAATGATTATCTCATCAATGATTGAACTAATGATCAGAAATCAATTATCTATTAATCATTATCATTGAGTGACAGTTCATGTTTTTGAAACATCCTATATAAGGAATGATTTTCTTGTATAAAATCATTCAATTCAATCGATCTATTGTATCAACAATAGATTGAATAAGTATTCTAATAAATTTTTTTTTCAGGAGGTGCAAGATACAATTATGTACATAATTATGATATTTATACATTTACATATTACATGTATATATATTCCAATCTTAAATAGGGTATGTTGTTTCTTTTTTTTCGTATTGGGATAAAAAATTTATAAATAAGTTGAAAAGTTCTATTGGCCACTAGAACTTTTCAAGTTATTTTTTTCTTTTTTCTTTCATACTTATATTATTATCTGGAGGGAGATAGGTACTATTTTATATCACAGCCTGTCAGATGGCTTCGTAATTTGAGCCAGGGAAATTTCTTGTGCCTGTTATGGAGAAAGCAGTGTAGTACTCGGGAAGGTCGTCTGTTCGTAGGTCCCTGTCGCCGTTTACGTACGTCACACGTATGATCATGCCCTACCAGTCCGGCGTGGTCCGCTCTGCGTGCACCCATTCCGGCCTTACAGGGAGTCTTCCTGGTCGTGCGCATACGCGAGAATCAATTGTAATGCAAATAAATTTATTCAGCAAATCGAAGAAACAAACAAATTACATTTTCTTTCGAATTTTTTCAAATGATTCTTTATATTCCAATATATGAGGATGATTTGAAGATAATTTTTCTTGAGCAATTTCTACGGCTTGTTGAACATTTTTCATTGCCATATTATATTGTCGAGTAGATAAATATAATTTTGCCAAACTATGATATACAACAGCTAAATCAGGATGACTTTTTGGTAGTTTCTTTTCACGTATTTCTAATCCTTTTTCATAATATGTCAATGCTGTTGTATAATCTTTCATTTGACGATAAGTTTCACCTAAATTTATATATGTCGTTGCACATTCGAGAGGATTACATTGAACACTTTCTTGAATATTTAATGCTTTTTGATGAAATGAAATTGCCTGCTCATAATCACCCATTAATCGATGAACATCACCAATATTACTGTATGTGATAGCTTGATTGGGATGTCTTTCTGGTAATGTTCGTTGAAATATTGTGAGGCATTTTTGAAAGTAATCAAGTGACTTTGAATAATCTTTCATATTGCGATAAACTCTTCCAAACCTACTGTATGTTGAAGCAAAAGCTGGATTACCTTCTTTAAAAGCTTTTTGCTGAATTTGATAAGCATTTTTAAGGACTTTAAGAGTTGTTGTGTAATCACCCATTTTTTCGTAACATGCTGCAAAATTCAAGTGACTTTCAGCCAAATCAGGATGATTCGAAGGCAGAGCTTTTTCGTAGATTTTATGTGATTTTTCGTAAAATTCAAGTGCTTTCGAGTAGTCACCCATGTTATTATACACTTGACCGATGT